CCCTGGGGCAATATTAGACATGAACGCTGCTATGATCTATTTAAGCATGTGTGAGATCTGTATAAATAAGCCCCTCAAATCCCCCTCCCCTTTCTTCTCTCTTTCTGTCTATGAACCCTGACTAATGTCGTGAATGAAATCTTTAAATGTTTGATTTCAAAGTAGAGGGTGAAGATTTTTTCCTTCTTCTTCTTCCCTATCTGTAAAAGGGGGGGGGGAGGAAGAGGTCATGTGGAGAATGTTGATTTTAAAAGGGGGGGAGGCAAACCCATTGCGCCTACTTTCATGGAGTGGGGGGGGGGGGGAATCCACAGAATGAGTCTTCAGCCTTGGCACCTGCTCCAGAACCTTCTTGATGAAGCAAAGGTTGTCTTCATTAAGAGCATTAATATTCATGCAGCATGGTAATTTTGACACAGAAAAGGTCTCTGTAACCTTTTCTTGTGTGAGAATTTTTTACTTCTCAAGGAAATTACAGTCCAGCAATGACTTAATTAATGCTGGGTTTCTTCAGCGGGTTTTGAAAAGCTGTCAGTTTAGGCTTGCCGTAGCTGTCAACTGAGGTGAAGTCTCCGGTTAGATAGATTGAAGGGAGGGAGGGAAAATATCCAAGTTCTAACATGGATCCATGTTGGGGTGGGGGGAGAGAAGGGGGGAAGTCACCTACCTCTCCGGCGTTAGCTTTAATTAGCAACCTGCTTGCCTTAATACGAGGTCATTTAATATGGGTCTGTAGTACATAGTCTGAATTAAATAACCAATTTTTCAGCCACTTTATCATTTCTATTGTTTTCATTCAAGCATCTGTTTCTCCTAATTTGTTTCAGTGGATAACACCCCTTCTATCTTGCTGGGAGAAGCCGTCTGATTTAAATGAGAGATTCACTTAAGGGGGAAAAATAGCAACGAGGGTGGAGCAATATTTTGTCTTAAAACTGTCCATCAAAAGGTAACACAGGACCAAAGAAGAGCATCGGCAAATGATGTTTATAAATCAAAGCTCACTCTCTTTCCCTCTACACATTTTGACTTTTATCAGAATACAGTATGCTAGTCATTGATTAAGCTACCAAGATGTCTGTGTAGATTATTTAAACGGCAGAAAATTACTAAGAATTTTTTTTTTTAAGTGCTGTTTTGGGAGATTTGATGGAAACTACTCTAGTGCTACCCTGCCCCTTTCCACTTTTGTCTCCACTCTCCAGACAAGTGTGAACGGGTGTCTGCAGTTAACCAGAGCTTTGGAATACATTAGACGCTGCACCACTTCTGACTTATCCCTGCTGCACAAGGTCCGTTTTGCTGCACGGTTGTGGAGCAAAGTGAAACTACAGCCTGCCATTTCAAATACCTTCCAAGCTTTGCTCGGAAGTTGAATGCCTTGGTGCGGCTAGGCATAGCTAAAGTAGGTGCCTGGCAAAGGCAGTTCTGCTAATAATCTCACCACAGGAGCCACCCTCAATTTTTTTAAAAACATGACATGACATAAATCAGCTCGTTACAATAGTAAGAGTGAAAACAAAGCAAGGTTTAGAGGAATTCATGATGTTAAGAGCCAACGTGGTCCACAAAGCAGTGTAGGGGCTGGTTTGAGTAACTGAGTTCTTCCTAGTCTTGGACTTGCAGGGTAGCTTTGAGCAAATACTTTGCTTTCAGCCTATCAAATTGCTTTGTGCCACTGGCATCCTGATTGGTAATCAAGCCCATCCACCACCATCACCACACCTGTATTGAATGGCAGAGGAAGGTAATATTAGGATTATTGTGGGCCTCACAGACTTCACATTGCGATATTGGACCCAAAGAACAGGCATTCAAGCAGAAACACACCCGCATACATTTTTATATAGTTTCTTGTCTGTGAAATAATAATAATAATAATAATAACAATTAATAATAATAATAAGTTACCCAACACAACTGTAGGCAATTTAACAATTAAAACTACACATACAGTGCTACAAGTACTAATGTTTAATATACATTAATTAAACACTGTGAAAGAAACACCTAAGGCAAGACCCCCTCTTGGAGCAAAAGTCTAAAAAAACACAAAATCCCCATCCAAAAATAACAATCCCAGTGGGCAATATTAAACTACTGGTTGGCATCGGGGACACTTAAAAACCCAAAGAACAAACAGTGCTTCTCCTATGGGAGAACAGTGAATGGTCTCCCAGGATTTTATGTTTAATGACTACAAGACAGAGACTGTAAAGCAGTTGGCACAAAGAAAATACTGTTATATACACAATCTGCAATAGCACAGCACAGATCCATGATGTGGCCTTATTGTGTTTTAGTAATTAGATGCTACTTTGGGGGGCATGCTGAAAAGGGTCATGTAGTCATACAGATTTTAAACACAAATAATGGTCACTCCCCTCAATGTATACAATCTGAAGCTGTTATCTTGTCTACCATGGGCTAAGTACATGATGGGAAATCTGTGATATGATTTTCCATTGTTTTGTTTTGTTTTGTTTTAAAAGTAATGGTTGCCTTACATTGGGGGTTCCGTTGAAATGAAGTGGTAGGAGAGTGGGTTTAAATATGTCCTTGTGTCATCCCCTTCTGAAAATATTTGCCCAATTTGTAAACTGCTTTGAGGTTTTTCTTTTACAATCAAGTGGTGTATACATTTTATGAAATAAATAAATAAACAGCACAAAACATATAGGTACTAGTGTGTTTTTCTGCAAAGGTCAAATAGTAGTTGTGAGTCTGTTTTGCAGAGGAAGTGGGGAAGGGTATTATACCTCTTCCCCAATGCCACAGTCCTGATATTTTCTCCCTCCTGCTAATGCAACTCACAAAAACTGTGGGACACCTGATCATGGATCTTCCACAGCTACATGCATTTCTGTCCTTGGACCCATCTGAAATCAGCAAAACTAAACAGCCTTGGTAGAAAATGCAATGACACTTTGAAAGCTCAGAGAAAAACTGAATGTATATCAGAGCATTGTATGAATTGTTAGTACACATCTGGTAAAATGTCTGTGGGCTTGTATACATACACATAAATGCACACACACACATCCACACAGGAATTCTGAAAAATTGATATTTTATTCAAATTATAAAGCACATTTTCTCTCTTAGATTAATAAAGTACAGATCTCACTGGAGTTGTCTATTACTTTATAACCTCCCAATGGACCACTGTAACGTGGGTGCACTCTTAGAACCCCCTGGAAACTTCACGAGGTGCAGAATGTGGATGTTTTGTTATTGTTGAGCGTCAGCTATAGCTGACCCATTAAACTTATCCTCCACAGGCTGCATTGACTCCTACTTTCCACAAGCACAATAAGATGGCTAATAAGCTCTAAGCCAAGGCAAATGGGTGCTAACTCACACAGAGCTCTGTTGATTGATTCCAGCTGAACCCAGAAGCAGAAGATTTAATTTCACCCTTTCTAACTGTTTCTATATTCAACAAGCTGGTAGCAAGGCAAATGCTACACTGGCTCTGGTTTTCAAATTTCAATATGCAGTAAAGACATATTGATGGTTTATGCTGATTTTTAGAAGGTGGGCCTTTGCCGCTTTAAATTTCAGTTTAGGAAGTGTTTCCACAGTTGATCAGAAACACATCAGAGTTTAAACACAGAGAGATTTTGTAAATGCAAACTGCATGAAAAGCTGCAGCACTACAAATGAACAGAATTGTTTTTCAGGAAGAGGGCCATAGTTTCAGTAACAGAGTACGGTATCTGTTTTGCATGCAAAACGTCTCAGGTTCAAGTCCTGACATCTCCTGGTAGGACCAGAAATGCCACCCACCTGAAATCCTGGCAAACCACCGCCAATCAGTGCGGACAGTATAGCGCTAAAAGGACAAATGGTCCGACTTGGTGTAAGGCAGCTTCCTATGTTCCTGTCTGAAAAGGATATTGTACACCTTCCCTTTTGCACCCTAGCTGAGTGCAAATTCTCAAGACTTGTGCCAAATTCAATCTCCACACTATCATGCTTTTTTGAACATGCAAATAGATCCATGAACCAAAATGATAATTCCCTGGAAATATATAATCAGTGCAGACACAGACTATTTACAGTGCCGTGAAGGATTTCCATAGTGCTCCTTATCAGTCCTTCCACTATCTTGGAAGGAAGTCACATTAATTTTAGTTAAGGCTGACTCGCAAGCAACCATGTACCTATGCAAATTCTTCTGAATTCCATGGGGTTTACTCCCAAGGGTTCTTAGTTTGTCCTCACCTTAAGAATGAAAGGAAGTAAAATGGAGATGCGCAAAGGCCTTTTTTATTATTTTAACACCACATGCTGTGGAATTTGTTTCCCCCCTCATAATCCTGCACATACACATTGCAATCTGCTTGCTTTAAAGAATATCTCATAGCGCCACAGACAACAGTGAGAGCTGTATTTTTAATGTCATTACATAACAAAATAAATATTTTATCTTTCCTGTGCATAATAGAGTAATTAGACAGCACAGCGTATTGGATTAGCACACATCAGTGATGCATATTAATCACAGAATGAAGACAGAGCACTATGAGATGCAACAGAAGCTCGGTGAGTACCCATTTATACACACAAACGGAAAAATAATAGTCTTTCTATTTCAGATGGCATGACATTTTATATGTAAATGTTAATTTCGTTTGCCACTTGGGAGGAGCCACTTATCTTACCATAGACCACATGATCTGCATGTGCACGCCCCACATTTACTGACCAGCATCTCTGGTTAAGAGGATCTGAGTAGTAGCCTGGCTAGCAAAGACCTCTGTCTGCTTCCAGATGACAGTGTGAGCTATCTTGGAAAAGTATTCAGAAATGACAACTGGTTCACAATGCAGCTGCCAGATTATTTGACCAGATAGGTAACAGGAACATCCATTTGCAGACAGTTGCACTAGCTCACTATATGGTTTCTAGGCTCAATTCAAGGTGGTGGCATAGTGACATTAAACTTGAAAGCACTGAACCATCTAGGATATCTGCAGATCCACCTATCTATAGTTAACACTCCCCATCAAAGGCTCTGCCTTGGATACCAGTGTTTCTCAAACTTGGATCCCCAGCTGTTGTTGGACTACAACTCCCATCATCCCTGACCACCGGTCCTGCTAGCTAGGGATGATGGGAGGTATTGTCCAACAACAGCTGAGGACCCAAGTTTGAGAAGCACAACAAACACCTGAGACACAGCAGTGGGGGTGTCTATTTTTTACAAGACATTTTTAGCCTTGGCCCCAAGGCTTTGGAATTACTTGCTGGGAAAATCCACTCTGCCCCCTATTTGTTGGCTTTTCAGTGCCATATTATGCTAGTTTTATTTCGCTGAGGAGCATCTCTGAAGTTCAGCAAGCTCCTGGCTTTCCTGTGCTGCTGCAAAGTATTGTGTGAAAAATGGTTTTATTGCCGGTTTATCTTTCCTTCTTATCAAGCAGTTTGTACATTTTATGCATTGTTTTTACTGTTGAGGGATCTATGCCGAAAACACACAATATAAATGCTTTCAATACATAATCAGAGTAGATGGACTGCTGATTTTATTGAGTAAAGGCAGCTTGTTGTGTGCCTTACAGATGCCGTGACAAACATCATTGACTTTTTACATTATACAGAACAAGTGGGACCAGCCACAAACATTTCTGTGCTTTCTCTACACTGTAGGAAGGGTGCTACTTTCCAGCACTCCATTCAGCCTAGATCAGGAACCTTGGACTTCTGTTCAGTCCCTTTGACAGTAGCAGGGAGCTTCAGGCTTGGGAATGAAATAAAGGAATACATTTAGCTGTGCCTAAAGAGGGTTTGCAGACAAAGTAGACCACCCTAATTCCTCCCTCCACATTTATTATAACCTGTCTTCCGCTGCCCTTCATTTTCCATCCCCCCACCAGATGACACACACATATTCCATACCTTAAACTGTTCTTAGCCATAGACTTGAGGGGTAGATACTTGCCCTCTTCAAGAGAGTTTACAAAGAACATGTCAGGGCTCCAGTTCAGAAGAATGATGAGGGAGTGTTCGTGATTGGTTTCTTGATTGTAAGGTGGTTTCTAAGTACATCCAGCCAAATAACTCTAGGAGCCCTCTTCAGACTTTTCCACTCAACATGGGAAGGTTGGAGATGGAGGGGATATGCACAGCATGGGTGTCTCGTTTTCAGCACCTGAAGATGGCTCCAGCCTTAACTGCTGATTCCTTTATACCTGCTTCTCTACCTCCTCCCAGGATAAGATGGTGGCCTCATGTGCCTTCAGACCCTACTCTGAGAACCAAGTTCTGAATAAATAAAAATTGACAGGAATGGTGGGTAGTTCTGCTCTTCTACCTTCTCTCTCTTTTTCAAGTTACATAGAAATGAATTAATTTACAGAGAAAACAAAATAAAATAAAATAAAAAATAAAAAAATTCCTTCCAGTAGCACCTTAAAAAGGTAAAGGGACCCCTGACCATTAGGTCCAGTCATGACCGACTCTGGGGTTGTGGTGCTCATCTCACTTTATTGGCGGAGGGAGCCGGCGTACAGCTTCCAGGTCATGTGGCCAGCATGACTAAGCTGCTTCTGGCGAACCAGAGCAGCACACGGAAACGCCATTTACCTTCCCGCTGGAGCGGTACCTATTTATCTACTTGCACTTTGACGTGCTTTCGAACTGCTAGGTTGGCAGGAGCAGGGACTGAGCAACGGGAGCTCACCCCATCGCGGGGATTCGAACCACCGACCTTCTGATCGGCAAGTCCTAGGCTCTGTAGTTTATGAATGAATAGGAAGGTTATCTGGATTAAGTTGAGTATTGGGGGCATTCAAGATTTTGGAGAGTTGGATGGATGGATAAACAAACAAACAAACAAACAAACAAATGGAACCCAGGTAAATGACAAAGACAGAAAACATCTGAAAAATATTTCAGCATTCCAAAATGCCTCCATCCTTTCAGCGTTCACAAGGCTATAGTGTAATGCCTTATTTATAGCATGTTTTCCAATGACTGATTTTCTCCTCACTATTTTAACACTCAGCTGTTGTTCCTCATTTCTCTCTTCATTTCTTTGCCTCTGTGATCTCTGATTCTGCCCACCCCCTACTCCAATTGCTGGTTTAGATGCTCAAATGAGACATCCAACCTTTTAAAGAAATCATTCATTTTGTTTAAAAGGTTGAATATGTCATGATAAGTTTGATGGGGCTAATATTAAAAACTAAATGTTCATTTTGATTTTGTTGGGGGCCCTAGTATCTTAAAAAAAAAAAAAACCACTTAGGCCAGGTCTGTAAAGAGAGGACAGGTGTAGAATGGCAATGGATTCAGTTGGACAGTACATGTAGCCTGTATGAAATCAGGGCCTGGCTCAGTTCTGCATATATTATATGAGTGCTTTGAATGGGTTCAGGTCCCAGATAGTACTTGTGCCTGAAAAGTTACACAATGAACTGTTCAGGAATATCAACATTACAGATGGCCACCTATTCCATATTCTCTTTCCTGCACCCTTTCTTGACTGTTTTTAAGAGCCTATTGAAATAAAGATATCATATGGTACCACTCTTCCTGGTGTCAGCCCACAAAGACTTCTCCCTGACATGCTAACATTCAGCCTCCCAGCTACGCTCTTGAAGTTCATTCTAGCAGGTACCACAGTTAGGTCAGCTCTTTTGATTTGCTCTTCACCTCAGCACACCTCCATCTCCCATTCTTTCTGTCTCCAGCACGCAGAACTGTTGTTTTGAAACAACAGATTTAAATTTCTGCAGAGGTACACTGGCCTCCCTTTGCTGGTATCATATACATGCTTTAGGTGATCCATCCAAAGAGAGAGGTTCAGGGGGGACAGGGGGGGACTTTGCGGTCTGTTAAAGACACCCATGCTACTGATGGACAACAAGAAGTAGACAGTTTAGGAACAATCAGACAGATTTCTCATCCCCATGGCATCATAAATAAGCTGCTGGCTCCACCTGCAGCTGCTGCAATGACAACATAGTCTACACTTCAGTACACTTTAAAGCTGATCAATTAATTCTAAAGCACTTTTAATGAGATCACAGAATCTGTGGGATCATGCTTTAATGACACTAAAAGCTCTGTAAGAGGAGCAAAGAGCTTTCAAGGCATCACTCAAATATATACTATTCCAGAGGGGAAGTAAAGGGGGGGGGAGAGAAATAAGGTAAATAATGAGGTTGAGATTATGTACAGTGGTGCCCCGCAAGACGAATGCCTCGCAAGACGGAAAACTCGCTAGACGAAAGAGTTTTCCGTTTTGGAGGTGCCTCGCAAAACGAATCTGCTATGGGCTTGCTTCGCAAGACGAAAATGTCTTACGAGTTCCTGGGTTTTTTTTTTCCATTACCCCCTCTATTTTCTAAGTCGCTAAGCCGCATATCTGCTTATCAGATAAGCTGATAAGCTTCTAAAAGCCGCTACAAGCCGCTAATAGCGCTAATAGCGCTAATCCGCTAATCCCATCAATGGGCTTGCTTCGCAAGACGAAAAAACCGCTAGACGAAGAGACTCCCAGAACGGATTCTTTTCGTCTTGCGAGGCACCACTGTACTATGTAACTATATGCTACAATGTGGTGGTGGGAGATTACGGTACCCTGTTCACCACCCCCAAAGTATTAATTTCCTAAATCCTTTACAAATTGGAATCTGGTCCTGAGATCATGGAAAAGCCATAGGTGCCCACTGGGACCTGTAAGGCGGAAGGAAGAGATGCCAACAGTAGGTTGAGCCAGAGGCAATGATAGACAGACATCTAATTCTGTTTTCATCCCATCCACCTTCCTGCTAAATTGCTAGGACAACACTGAGACTAAGTGGGAGGAATTTGACAGGCAGTGACACTCTCTGGACTGATTGTAAGCAGATAGGCAGGCATTGGGGGCTGGCTGACATTGGTGGGGCAGTGCCCCATTTGTCCTGATGGACCAGCCTCAAATGGATCTAGCTGCATGAAGAACTGAGGGTCTCTTATTTCGGACGTAGAGGAATTTCCTTCTTTTTTAACGAAAAAAAAATACAACCCAATGCCAAGTTAGGCTCAATCTGGAAATAAAAATACCACAGTTCCATAGACAATAACTAAGTATGGGGTGTGTGGAAATTCTGTTGGCATGAAGGATGAGATTTTAATAAAATCCTCTCTTTAAAAATTGCCTTTTTTATTTGGCTTCCTTGAAAATTTAATTATACCAGTCATTGCTTTCACCTTGAGGGACACCAGTTGAAATGACCATCTGATGACAGCTTGGCGGCCTCTATGATAAGGAAATGAACCAGAAGCTTCTCCTTTGATCCTAGAGGGAAAGTGTCCACATCGCTAAACAACCCTCATAATTAACACCTTTCTCTGACACCTCATCAGAAACCAACAATCACTGAACCACTCAGAGGACATTGCTTGGAATGGTTAATCAGCCAAGCCTAATCAGAGAAGATGAGTTCCAGAATCTTTATTCCCCCCCCCCCATTTTTTTTTATATATATTTTTTTAAACCCATATTTTTGCAACACACCTTCCTTGCTTTTGCATCTACTTACTGTTATAAATGCCGGCTTCTGCTCCTATTTCCCATTGTTGCTCAACTGGCTTTGACTACACTGCAGAAGTGAAAACAGTGAAGAAGACAAAGAAGAAGCAGAGCAGTCAAAGGACAACAGAAAGACAGGAAGTGAAAAGGTGGCATTTAAAAATTAACTGCACGTCCTTTACAATAGCACTTTAGCCACAAGCCACTGTCCTGACTTTAGAGGTGCACATGCTTAGATGAATAGAATTGCAGCAGCAACCTCGTATTAAGCAATGAAGCGCAGGGAAGTGAAACGGCAGAGCAAGTAATCAGAGTGAAGAAAGAGTGAGCTGTGGAAACCTCTGGGCAGACATGTTGAATGCATTTAATGTATTGTCTAGCAGGCTTTGCCCAAAAGCTACTACAGTAAACACACTTCCCCTACATGACACAGAGGACACTAAGCTTTTGGGCCCCAGTGAGAACACCGGGAATTTTGAGGACGTACCATAGGTGCTAGTCACAAACTGACCGCTGTAGGATGTAATACAAAATGGTGGTGGGGGGGGAGAGACTCATAATACAAAATGGCTGTTGTGAGGGTGTGGTGCATCACAAAACAGCTGTCACATCTAAAAGAGCAGCAAATAAAGAGGCAGGCATGCAGCATGGTGTGAGTATGCCATTGGAGGGGTGTTGAGGGGATATTTCCCGAGAACTTCCACAGGTGTCATTGCAGGTGCACTGGTGCCCATGGGCACTGGGTTGGCGACCCCCTTTGTAAAACAATAGCTCATGTGCTGGGCTCCCTCACCTCCCTTTTGCATACATCACAATCACACACCTTTGCCTGCAGTGAGCACTGACTTCCCCCATACAGCTCACATGGCCCATTTGTAATCAGGCTAACCCTCCTTCCTCTTAACCCACTTATGCCAGAGGTGAAATCTACTGCCTCAAACCTTAAACAAGCAATCCTAGGGCACCATGGAGCAGGAG